GAAACACATGTTTGCCAATTTAACGCATACAAAGTTGGGATTGCCAAAGTGGCGAGTTGTCTTGAACGTTGGCGACTGTGCAATAATACGTAAGTAATAAATAAAAAAATTATCCGAAGTATATATATCCCGAGCATAAAAATAAATTGAAAAATTAAGTACAATACTAACATTAAATGACATAAAAAGAACTGAACTAACTCTATCAATGCAAAAGCATAATTTGAAAAAATATGGTACATATAACCGCAACCTATTGGCGACATCTGAAACGAAGCACATCCCTCACAATTCAGCAAATATATGACATGCGAAATCGGGGTTGCCACCTTGGCAAGTTATTTTGAACGTTGGAGATTGTTAGATAGTACATAAGCAACAAAAAAATAATTTATCTTACGAATACCTGCTTCCTCAACAGGTATTTAAGCCATTTGTCTGTTTTGCTCATTCTCTGATGCCTATTCCAGTTTGATATGTAATTACTACCAACACTGCTTTCTCTTGGGCAGTATAATTACCCAAGTTTGATTTTCTGCAAGGCAATTTTATACACTGAAGCCAATAGTATACCCTTAAAGGTTAAAATAAAGACACATAAAAAATTGCAAAATATTATTAATTTCATACTATCTAAAACAGATAACGAAAACGGAAATACTATACTTATGTTAATCACAGTAATAAGAACTGAAATACCATTATAAATAAGAAGTTTTAGTTTGTCGAAATTATAACCTTCGCCTTCTAAAGAAATAAATAAATTTTCCGAAAAAATACTGAAATTGTAAGTTCTAATTTTTAAGCAAAATCACACACATAAACATCCCGCCATAATACCTAAATGTTGCCAAGACAACAAAACAAAATTTTACTTGAATCCTTAAAAAAATGATTTATTCGAAAAATAAACCTAATTAAATATCAAAGAATAGAAAAATTGAATAAATATTCCAACCGATTAACATAGCTACAGTAAAAATATGTAATAATCTTGAAAAACTGCATGTAAAGTATAAATTGTCCACTTACTGAGAAACGTCACATGATATGACGTCATAACACTGGAAAATCACATAAAGTTAAATTTTTAAAAATTAGGAAAGAATTAGGAACGCCAAACCTATTTAAGAACCTTCCTCGAGTAATTGTGTGCACGTGTACCAAATTTCTCGTTATTTGGTTGTCTGGATCTTGAGTTATGAGGGAACAGACAAACAGACAACAAATGCGTCTTATATATATATATATATAGATATATATTATATATATATATTATATATATATATATTATATATATATATTATATATATATATATATTATATATATATATATATTATATATATATGTATTATATATATATATTATATATATATATATATTATATATATATTATATATATATATATTATATATATATGTATTATATATATATATTATATATATATATTATATATATATATATATATATAAAAATATATATATAACGGAGAAAAGCGACTGACTGACTAATCACGATATCGCCGGAACTATTAAACCTACAAACTTGAAATTTGGTAGGTAGGTTCCCTTCATGGAGTAGACGTCAGCTAAGAACGGATTTTGCAAAGTTCGAACCCCAAGGGGGCGTTACGGGGTTTAAGGGGCGTTATAGATAATTATTTCCTTTACTAAACTATTAGATGTAAAGTCGTGAAACTTGGTACACAGATTTCTTTCTCATAAAGTAGAGATTCCCTACATAATGATTTTTACAAAAATCGACCTCCAAGGGGCGTTGAGGGCGCTTAAGGGGCGTTATACATAATTATTTCCATTTTTAAACTATTAGATGTACAGTCTTGAAATTTGGTAAGCGGATTCCTTTCATAGAGTACAGATCCCCTACAGAATGGGTTTTGTGAAAATCGACTCCCAAGTGGCGTTGTAGAGAATTAAGTGGCGTTATAGGCAATTAACTCCTTTTTTAAACTATTAGACGTAAAATCTTGAAATTGAGTTAGCAGATTCCATTCACTGAGTAGTGATCTGTCATAAGATGGGTTTTGTGAAAATCGTTTCCTAAGTGGCGTTGCGGGGACTTAAGGGGCGTTATAGATAATTATTTCCATTTTTAAACTATTAGACGTACAGTCTTAAAATTTGGTAAGCTAATTCCTTTCATGGGGTAGAGATCCGCTACAAAATAGTTTTGGGGAAAATTGATCCCCAAGGGTCACAGAGGGTGATTAAGGGGCATAATAGATAAATATTTCCGCGTTTCAACTAATAGAAACACCTGCTTGAAATTTAGAAGGTATGTTCCGTTCATGGAATAAAGTTCCTTTTACAAAGATTTTTGCGAAAACGGACCCCCAAAGGAGTGAGTTTGCAAGGGATTAAGGCATGTTATAGAAAAATTCCTGTTTTTGAATTTAACTCACTTGAAATTTGTTGAGCACTTTTCTTTAGTTCAATAAGAGTTCCACTAAGAATGGATTTTACGGAAATCAACTCCAGGGGGAAAGTTATTGGGGCGTATTGATAGACAAAATTCCCGTTTTTGAACTGCTAAGACTATAATAATAAAATTTGGTTTGCATGCTTTTTTTGTTGACTTGGAATCCGCTAAGAATGCTGTCATCCAGGTATTGATGGTAAAAATTCCGTTTTTGCTCTGTTAGATTTAGACTTGAAATTCAGCAAGCATGTTTATTTTATGAAGTAGAGATCCACTGAAAGTTGCTTTGGTGGAAATCCACTTATCATACTTCTCTTTTTTCACCGAGCTGATTCATTTTTTCTGGTATAAAATGTGTTTAGCGTTTTTTCTCCTATACCGTAATGTTAAATGGGATATGCCTTCACATATTTAAACAAAAAAGAAAGTATTCATACAATATTTTGCCATTTTTAAAAACACTATATTGTTAACAAAGGTATGAGTTTTAATATTACAAATTTCCATCAAAATTGAGGCTTTTTTTTCTGTTTGAAAATGGGCTTCGCGTTTAGTTCAAGCTCTCTTACTTTTACCGAAGACAGCCTTAAACAACAACTTACATTCAAAGTGATTTAAAATATTTTAATTTTATATTAGGGGGTGTACTCCCTGTCCGCTTGAACTCCGATTGTAGAAATTAGACAGCTGTTCATACTCATTACTCAAATTGCAAAATTGTCATTTATATATGTTACGTGTAGTTCTATTTTATTTACAATATTGTTGTGATATAGATTTATTGCAGTATCACGCGAAAAACGTTTTTTAAGTAGAGATATATAATATAAAAAGCCGTGATGTTGAATAGAAATGAAGGTTTATTGAAACATCTTTTTATGAAAGTTCGGAATTCCTTCAAGGGACAGCAAAGTTAGCGTTGCAGCTTTTTTAAGCATCCTCTAATTGATATCAAATAAGTATTTTTAATTTGTATTTTAATTAACCAAAGGTGTTTTTCATAAGTGCCAACTCCTGGGACACTATAACTCTCTCTCTCTCTCTCTCTCTCACACACACACACACGTAATTCAATATTCATATTTATATTATTTTAAGGAACTTCCTATTATATTATGCCTTTTAAATAGAAGAAACTACTTTAGCCAAATACATCAGTTTTAGATAATGGAATTTCTAGATAGAGCAAATTATTGCGGACTATCTCGGGAATGCATATTCAACAAGAAGAAAACAAGATTTTCGCTCAAGGTGAACAAAAACTTCCGCTTCGAGATGTAATTTATAGCACTTTAATTTTAGACACAGTTATCCTGTAAATGTGAGCTGCAAGATTCTTTCCCCTCTCTTAATTCGCTCTTGTCGTCGCATTCGAAAGTAATAATTACTATGCGCGGTGAATTTTTTGCTTGAGCGCAGCACCAACGTGTGAATATAAGAAAATAAAAACATTTGATGGCAATTTAGTTGGTTTTCTCTCATGAAATTTGGGACGCAGACGAGGCGTGCCTCCGCGGCGCATTTTAAATGGACTTAGTTCAAACAATCCGTGCGAATGTACTCCGTGTTTTGCAGCAGAGAAGAGTAAAACAAAAATAAGTAATAAATCCGTCAACGGTAACGGATAAATAATTGCATGCTCGCGCCCTTGCCAATTCTCCACTGATTGTAGAATGATCCTGTCTCACGATCATTGCTTCTCCCAACAGTGTTTGGGAAGTCTCTCTAATAATTAGTTCTTTACACAATCACTCCAATTCACAGATTCAATATTACATTATTCATTGCATTAGGTCACTTATTATTGAGGTAATTCTAATCACTTCTCAAATGAGCATTATTTGAAGTCTCTACCATTTGCAAAAAGGGGGTGCGGGTTCTTCCAATCTATCGGCGGGGTTCCATAGAAATTGTGAAATGCTTCCTTAAAATAACACGACGAAGGAATTTACTTTTTTTTATATTTAAATCGAGTTCATTTTTTTCACAAATTGATTGTTTTTTCAATTCCTCTACTATTAGTTCACACTCTCCCTATATTATATATATCTTGTTCAAATTTTTAATCATTAATAAAAAAAAACTTTCTATTCGTCCAATCAAGTTCAAATACATTTTGTTCAAATACATTTAAACTTGTAATAGATGCTACTTGATGTTAATACAATTTTTTAAATATTAATTCATAAATTAAATTAAAAAATGAATAAATAGTAACAAACAAAAATAATAGCCCAACAGCATATATAAAAAGGAAAATTGCTCGTTGTGTCACTGTAACGCAATGGATAGCGCGTTGGGTGAGTGAGGGAATATTAACGTCGCACTGTGTTCAGCTACACGAGGACTTTTGGCGACGGACCACATAATTTTGAACCATGGTCAAGTGACATGGACGACACTTGAGCTGGCACCCCCTCTCCTAACTACCACATCACACCAATGGGAGGACGTTTCAGCTCTCAGCAGATTTCACGTGCATCGCTGCCCTACACAGCGGGTCTTTAGTGGTACTGGGCTCGAGCTCATGACATTCCTGCCATGATCCGATGCCTTGACCACTGGGCTACTGCAGCCCCGGATAGCGTGTTGGACTTCTAATCCAAAGCTCGTGGTTTCGAATTCCACCTGTGATGGCCTAGTTTCTGAGAACCAGATTTCTTTTTACTGTACTATTTTATTAGAATAAAATTTAATTAATGAATAAATAATAACAAAAAAAAAATAGTCCAACACTATATATAGAAACGAAAATCGCTTTCTATTTTGCCACTTTGCCACTTAATACTGTAATTCTTTCATACGTATATATATTGTTATATTAGTTGTAATTATTTAATAAAAAGTAACTAAAATAAAATGTTTCTTTGTTGACCTAAGTAGGAAAATTGACTTAATTTTTTTTTATATTACTTGTTAACGGCAACACGAGAGCTTACTGGCGAACGATCTCCTAATGATGTATCTCGGTCAGTTGACGAAAAGGTCACCTGAGCTGCTACCCCATTTTCTTATTTTCTATACCATGCTAACGGAAGGAACTTGAATCACGGCAGATATAACGTGCATCAACCTCTCTGCACGCTGGGTCTTGAGTGGCACCAGGACGCGAACTCGTGACTCATCGGACCCAAATTCATGTTCATATTCGTGACCTCTTAGCTACCTCAATCTTTTTTTTTAAAAGTAGCACTACAATTGCATAACAAATCTCAAGTGGGATGACACCTCAGCCCCATTCCATGTGAGGTCTTCTAGAAACCTTCTGTGCATTAGACCAGCGGTACTCAACCTTTTTTTCAGCCGGGCCGCATACACATGACAACTATTTCACGCGGGCTGCATACACACGACAACTATTTCACGCGGGCCACATACACATAACAACTATATCATACGGACCGCATACACATGGCAACTATTTCTTGCGGGACGATACATATGACAACTATTTCACCTGGGCCGCATACACAACTATTTCACGCGGGCCACAACATGACAACTATATCACACGGACCGCATACACATGGCAACTATATCACACGGACCGCATACATGGCAACTATATCACACGGACCGCATACAACTATATCACACGGACCGCATACACATGGCAACTATTTCTTGCGGGACGATACACAACTATTTCACCTGGGCCGCATACACACAACTATTTCACGCGGGCCACATGCACATGACAACTATATCACACGGACCGCATACACATGGCAACTATTTCTTGCGGGACGATACATATGACAACTATTTCACCTGGGCCGCATACACACAACTATTTCACGCGGGCCACATGCACATGACAACTATATCACACGGACCGCATACATATGACAACATTTCTTGCGGGCCGCAACATGAGGATTAACGAGGAAGGTAGGGGGAGGCAGCGGACGCTATAAGATCAAAGACATTTAAAATGCAGAAATGGATCAAAATATTATAGTTATGGATTTCCTTTTAAAACTATATTAAACTTCGTCAAACTCAACTCGCAGAAAAAAAGGGTTTAATGCATTTTTTTACCCTGTTATGGGGTGATTTCCTTTTATCAATTATCTCAAGTCCCGCACCCCCAAGTATTTTGTTGCTGAATAAAAAGGTGGCATCGAAAGATTTGTGCTTAGTAGTATAGTGAAGAGCAAAATTATAATTCATTAATAGCATTTTAAAGACAAATTAAACAAGTTGTTGATTCATGTTCGATTTTTCTAAGAAACAGTCAAAATCCCAATCGTCTTGAAATAACTATTCTTTAGATATTTTTTGCTTGCAAGGCATGAGGGTCAATTAAAAATCAGTTTTCCCCCCTAAAATAGTCGCTATTCTACTGTTATTGGTTAACACTAACCGTTACAATTATAAAAGAAAGAAAATTTTTATCCCGCAAATTCCTACCAGCACTACATCGATAGCAAAATCGATACATGTGATTGCTTGAATGATAGAATTTCTCGCTAATTTTTTGATGCATTGTTCTTAAATAATTGAATTTGTTAGTGAAACGGGACATGACTGGGCCACTCAGAAAGGTCTGGTGGGCCGCAGGCTGAGTATCGCTGCAACAGATACACGATAAATTTTCGAAACATCGTACACGTAATTTAAATCCAAATCAAGAAAATGTTCAGGATGATAAATCAAAGCGATACTATATCTTTTTATATAACCCTGTTCATAACTGAATACTTAAACACGTTTCATTTGTTGCTGAAAAATTCGATTTGTTATCTGGATGGTTTTGAATCCTTTGGAAATGGAAATTTCTGATAAGAGCAGACGACTGAAGTGGGGACGTTCTGCCTCGAGGAGGCCCAGTAATGAATGCTGACTTCTCACAAACACTCCTTCTGAGAAGAAAGGATAAAATCGCGCTAATTTTATTCTCAGATACATCGTAATGAACCCTTAACGAGGAAGGAAATCAACTAATTCGTTTATCTGGCGTCATTTATCATTAGAGTAATTAAGGAACTGCTCTCACCAATGAACTAGTAAAGAGGCTGAGATCGATTCTTGTTTAAAATAGAAAAAAAACGTGCATTTTCTTTCAGACTGAATTTAGAAGAAATCACGAATCAATGAATGCTGTCAAAGTTGAATGCAAAGGAAAAACTAATTCTGACTGTAAAATGTCGCCCTTCAAGACTTTCATTTCGAAGTGCGCCAACATAATTCTTTCCTTATTTTATAAATTCACAGCGTGTGTGCCTTTATTTGTCGTTAATGCATTGTTGAAACGCATACTTAAATGAAACTAGCTTATTAAATAATCTATTTTGTTTCATACTAACAAGGGGAGAGCACGACTAAGGAAATTCATTTGGGGTCGAGACTTGGTGTAATAGTAATACTCCTTTAAGGTGTTCAACCCTCAATGTAATTCCGCCGGATGGCCTGTCAATTCGGAGAAAATAGTCCTCGGAACTCATGCTTAGCTTTTATATAATTAAGTTATAATTTCCTCCAGCGACGCAGTGGCTTGGTTGGTAAAATCCCTGCCTTCAATGCCGGCGGATAGAGTTCCAATCACGCGATCAACGTTTTTTCAATTCTTTAAATCATTTTTTAAAATTAAATAAATTTATTTATGAAAGGTTTATTAAATATTAAATGATATTTCATGTAATTCTTTTGTATAAGTAAAAAAAATTAATTATGTAAATTATTTATTATTTAAAACATTTAAAATTAGTATTAATTAAAATAATTATTATCAATTAAAAATAATCACTTATTATTAATTAAAAATAAGTAATTATTCTTAATGTAAAATAATTGTTTCTTATTAATTAAAATTATTATAAATTTTTAATTACAAGTATTTAAATAAATTTATTAAAATTAAATAATTTTATTTATAAAAATGACTTATTAAATATTTTATATAATTATACAATAATTAATTTAATAATAATAATATATTTTATACATTATTTTATGTTATATATAATATTTTATTTATAGTATATTGTATTTCACATTATAAAACTAAATAATTTTTATATAAAATATCATTTAATATTTATTATATATTTTATTATAAATATTTTTTTATTTGTATAAAAATATATTTATTAAACACATAATATAAATATTTATATAATTACAGTAATATTTTTTGCTTTATAAAATACAAAATAATTACACAGAAGATCATTTAATTTTTAATAAATAAATTTATTTAGTTTTAAAAAATAATTAAAGGAATTGAAAAAAGAAATTGATCACGTGATTCGAACTCTATCCGCCGACATTGAAGGCAGGCGTCTTACCAACCGAGCCACTGTGTCGCTAGAGGAAATAAAAATTTTATTGTATGAAAGCTAAGCATGAATTTCGAAGACTATTTTCTCCGAATTGACTGGCCATTCGGTGGAATTACATTGAGGGTTGAACACCCTAAATGAGTGCTACTATTACACCAAGTCTCGACCTCAAATGTGTGAATTTCCTTAGTCGTTCCCTGCCTTATAAGAATTATTGCTTTATTAATCAAAAATTGCGTTGCTATTTAACAGCTAATAAATTTTACTCTAATTTTTCATCTAATAATTCGCACATTTTAATTAATTCTGTAAAAAAAGAATTACATTAAGTTTCTCATAAATATTTCGCAAATATCGAACGATTTATTTAATAATGCAGCTATAAACACAGTTTTTTTTTTTAAAAAAATCTATAATTGGTAGTTTACAAGAGTAATAGAAGGAAAATCAACGAAGAAACAGAAATTTGCTTTTAATTTTGAACATGGATTGGTTTTAAAAAATTAAAGTTACAAAATTTTTCTGCAATCAATAGCAATATCTACCCCTGTTGTTTTTAAAAAAGGGTTATATTGTGTAATTTAGGAAATTTCAGTTTATGCGACTGGTATTGATTTAATAGTAAAAGAGGTTGTTTTCTCCACACACATTCATTTTACGTGAATTGTAAATTAAACAAAAAAAGCTTTTTGTATGTCTCAGCTGAACAACAAACCATGTTTGCTAAATTTTAAGTCTGTAGATATAATAGCAGATAAAAAAGATTTTTTTTTAATATTTATAACGCCCCGTAACTCTCTTGTGGGTCGATTTTTGAAAACACTTTCCTTCTGCTCAGTAAAAGTAACACATTGTTACAAATTGTGTTGCAATTAACTCTTAAAATAGTGTAAATAATTTGTATCTGGATGTGTAATACGTTAATATTACTTTCTGATGCATTTTCTTTATGTTAAATAGCTGTTACCCCCGCGACTTCGTCCACGTGGAATTTAACAAAAAAGTGTTTATTCAGTTCGTAGAGTTTACGAAAACTTAAAAATTATGTATTCCACGTAAATTAATGCCTATGCTATAAGTATAATGTCATTCTTCTACTTTGTGAATCGATGTTTCTTTTTTGTTTCATTTTTTCTTTTCTTTCTTTCTATTTTTTTGAGCTAGGGGTGAGAGGGACGCGTGACTTTTGACACTGTCGATGGGATGAGGACTGTAAAATCATTAGGATCAAACAGGTCTAAGTAGCAGTAGAGTAAAACGAACACAAACAAAGCCGCAAGCAAGGGGTGAGAGGGACACATGACCTTTGACACTGTCAATGGAGTAAGGACTAAAATCATAAGGATCAAGGACATGAACG